AAACGTAGCAGAGGCGCACTAGCCCTCCGGAGCGGTTTACGGGGCAGGCCCGGTGCCCTCCTGCCTGGCGCCCTTTGTCAGAGCGACACGGCCCCGACAGGAGCTGCCGCAATCGTGGAGAGAACAGGACTTGGTTCCCCAAGCCAGGGCCTCATGGCTGCATCACCCTGCTGGCCACCAGGCACACGTCCCCCTACAACAGCGCACGGATCCCATTCCCAGCACCTCCCCGGCCCCCGCCTTCTCCGCAGCACCCACCTGAAGGCAGTCACTGTCGACTCCTTGTAGTAGGGCCGCAGGATGGGGATCTCACTGTACAGTTGCTTCAGCTATGGAAAAAGAGGAGGCTCAGTGAGGCCAGTACCTCTGCCCCCAGCCCAGGCCGCTCCCTCCCTCCCTCCTAGGACCTGGTGCCCTTCCGTGCCCCACACCAGCCCAGGGAGATACGGCCAGGACAGGGCTCCAGCCCAGGGCGTGGACTCACCGCCTCCTTCACTTTGCTGGCCAGCTCTACAAATTCAGTGGAGTTCGGGTTCTCATAGGCGTCCAGAAAGTTCTCGTTTGTGACCCGCAGGTAGCCATTGAAGACCTTCTGGATCCGCACGTCCCGGTCTATGCAAGGCCAGGGAAGGAGAAGAGTGAGAGGAAGTGACATCATCCCTGTCCCGTCCCCCAGTGTCCACAAGCTGCCCTCAGCAGCCCTTGGGGGGGTGGGGTGACAATAAAGGGCGTGGAAATGGTGGGCCAGGTCCCAGTGGGGTCCACACCCATGCTCAGACCCACGCATGAAAAGCAACAGAGCTGCTGACAACTGGGGCAGTGGGTGCCAGGAGGGGCCAGTGGACCTGAGAGCTATGGGCCAGCTCTGACCAATTCCTCACCCACCGCCCACTGCTTGAAAGAGGAAAGGAGAGGGAGAATCTTAGGCCCCCCTCACCCACCCCGCTGCACCTTCGTTCTCTCCCTGTGTCCATTAGACTCGGGCCCTGGGTCTGTCCCTGAGCGGGGAGATGGGCCATCCCCACATCGCCCTCCCCAGAGCAC